AAAAAAATTGGAACCGTTTATTCTCACACTTCTCTGCAAGAGGCAATCTGCCTTCCACTCACCCCAAAGACTGCCAGTGCTGAGTTCACAAATACAGGGAAACAGACCCACAAGACTGAAAAAGGACTTTAGTTAAGAGTTGTGCCCCCAAATAAAGTTTTAGTTTCATACCTACCTTCCCTTTCAATAACGTATTCATCTTTGTAACACCAGTGCATAAAACATGGGCAAATCAATCCCAATGCTTTGTAAATCTTACATTCTCCTGCCATCAGTACATGCATCTGCAGTATCCCTGATATCACCAAACATTAGGGACAGTATTTAAAAAAAACATTGGTTACAATAGACATTGTCCAGAGAAGAGTCAGAGAACACTGCGCTAATGATTTTGCATGCAGGGTCGATGGACCAGAAACAAGACTGCTACGCACAGTTGCTGCTCAAAGGAAACAGCGCCTACCTTATTACAACCATCCTGGCAAGTTCCTCCCAAACCAATCTGGAATACACCAAGGAATGCGAGCAATGTACATAATGCATTATTTTGCTGAGCCAACAAGAAGATATTTTCTACAGATAGGCAAATTGCACTTGGTGTGAAGTATATCATAATTACCTTGGTCATCCAAGAGATGCTTCCGCTAATGTCCACTTATTCAAAACAGTAAAATGATGGATTTGAAGCACACATTGAGTCCTTATTCATTGGAAGCAAAGAGGATCCCAGGACACTCGCAGCACAGTGACACTAAGATCTAATGCCACACAAAACTAATGCAAATGACTATCTCGTCCCTTAGTTTCTAGTGATGTAAAAGCCTCCCCCACCACAACCAGGTGTATTGTTCCATGGCTCTTTTGAAAGAATGTCAAGATCAAGTGATATAGTGAAACGTGTGAAAAACAAAAACTGTGCGTTCTCTTTTTTCAGAGAGAAATTAGAGCACAAAGGGAGGAAGCTCTACATTAAGGGCATGTCTATTGAAAATATAAGTTAAAAAAATTGCATACAATTAAATATACTTCTTCATTTAGTAAACAATTACTTGCAAACAAATTAAAATAGGAGATTTGAGAGAGTGTCTCCGGGTATCCACTAGGTAAGCTATCACTTAGAGAGCGGTTAGTGGGGTTTCCTTGGGGCTGAGCCCTAGATTACTGGCAATCGGATATCAGAATTGATATCTACCCTCTGTGGCAGACTTCGCAGTCCTGGGCCGGGCTGGTCCGCAATTCTCCAGGGCACTACTGATAACAAACCAGCCAGCCTGGCGCATTGGCAAGACTCAGTGAAAGATCAGTCACTGGGGCAAGGATTCTTTCCACTCGGTTCTTGTTAACCCTGCAAGTCAAAGCCAAATGGAGCTGGACAAGAAGCGACAAACTTTACCAGACAGTGTTTTCAATGGCCAGCTGTACAGTTTTACAATAACAACTTACACTTGTATATCTCCCTTTACATCGGAAAGACGTCCCAGGGCGCTGGACAATCAGGGGTTTTGGACCCGAGCTGGTAGTTGGGGTCAGAAGGGAAGGAGGGCAGGGGGGTGTGGGTGGGGGGGGGGGGGGGGGGGAATTACCACAGCCTTGACATTTCCGACCTTAGTATAGTGGACAAGACCATCTCGGACCACTTCCTCATCTCCTTCTCCTCTTACATTCCTCTCTCCTCCACCAACCCCTCAACGATTCTCTACCGCCCATGGAAAAGGCTAACCCCTGAGACCCTCACAAAGGCCCTTACATCCTCAAATATCCTATCGCTCTGATCTTCCACCCGCAGAGATCCTGAAGCAGCCGTCCAGCTGCTCCATGATCGGCTCTCCTCCACCTTCAACTCCCTCGTCCCCCTGAAATCCAGGACCATCTCCAAATGCACCCGATTCCCCTGGTACAACAACCATGTCTGCTGCCTAAAAACCCAAACCCGTCTGCTTGGAAAACTGGCCTGACAGTTCTCCACCAACTGTGGCTCGAGCCGTGATACGCACAAAAACAGCCTTCTACTCCAACATCATTTTGGAGGCTAAACACAACCCTAAAATCATTTTTTCCACCACCCACTACCTCCTCCATGTGCCCCCTCAGGCCTACTCAGTCTTCACATCCAGTGCCAAGTGCGAAGAGGTCATGGACTTCTTTTCATCTAAAATTCACAACATCCGCCAGGCAACCTCATCCACCTGCCTCTTGTCACCCACCACCACGCCCTCTCTGTCCCCCTTACTCTCCCCATCATCAGCTCCTACCACAACCCCCATCTTACCTTCCTCCCCATCTCTCCCGCCTCCCTCTCACCCACCATCACCTCAATGAAACCCACCACCTACTGCCTCGACCCCCTCCCTACTAACTTGCTGGTCACCCAGCTCCCCCTTCTCTGCCCACTACTGCCTGATGTCATCAACCATTCCCTCTCTTCCAGATCAGTCCCTGCCCCCCTCAAAACTGCTGTCATCACCCCCTTCCTCAAAAAACCTTCGCTAGATCCCTCAAACCCCAGCCACTACCACCCTATTTCTAACCCGCCCTGCCTTGCCTCGCAAAAGTCCTAGAACGCGTTGTTGCCAATCAACTCCGCGCACACCTCTCCTTCCACTCCCTCTTCAAACCTCTCCAATTTGGTTTCCGCCCTGCGCACAGTACAGAGACTGCACGTGTGAAAGTCACAAATGACATCCTCTCTATCTGTGACCAGGGCTCCCTCTGCCTCCTTGTCCTCCTGGACCTCTCAGCCGCGTTCGACACAGTCGATCACACCATCCTCCTCCACCGCCTTTCCTCCATCATCCACCTCACTCACAAATCGTCAGCAGTACATCTGCACAAACGGCTTCTCCTCCCGCTCTCACCCGCTTACCTGTGGGGTACCACAAGGATCCATCCTTGGCCCTCTCCTCTTTTTGACCTACATGCTCCCTCTTGGGGATGTCGTCTGCAGACATGGGGTACACTTCCACATATATGCAGACGACACCCAACTCTATTTTTCCACCTCACTTTGCGACCCCCTGTCCCCTGATATTCTGTCAGCCTGCCTGTCAGACCTCAGGAGCTGGATGAGCGCAAATTTCCTTCAGCTAAACACTGAACATCATATTCTTTGGCTCCTGTCAACGTCTTAAAATCTCACGGTTCTCACCTCCTCCACCTACTCGACCTCCCCATAAAACTCTCCAAACCCATACTCAACCTAGGAGTCAGGTTCGACCCCCAATTATCCTTCCTCCCCCACATCCGGTCCCTCACCAGCACCGCTTTCTTCCACCTCCGACGCATCGCCCGTCTCCACCAATACCTCTCTCCGAAAGCCACTGAAACTCTGGTCCATTTCTTTGTCACCTCTTGGCTGGACTATTCATATGCCCACCTCGCCGGTCTCCTCTCTCCTACAAAATCCAAATTATTCAAAACTCTGCCGCCCGCATTCTTATCCGCACCAAACTCCGCTCCCCGATCACCCCAGTCCTTGCCAGACTGCACTGGCTGCCTGTCCCAGAGAGGATCGACTTCAAGATCCTCACTCTTGTCTTCAAATCCCTCCACTCCTCTGCACCCTCCTACCTCTCTGACCTCCTCTCTCCTCAAAACAGTGCCCGTTGCCTTCGTTCCTCCGGGTCTGGCCTCCTCCTCGTCCCCGAGTCCTCCGCTCCACCCTCGGCGGCCGTGCCTTCAGCCACTATGTCTCGAGACTCTGGAACTCCCTTCCTCGCTCCCTTCGCCTCGCCCCCTCTCTTCCTATTTTCAGGTCTCTGCTGAAGACCTTTCTTTTCGACCGCGCCTTTGGTCATCTTCCTCCCCCTCCCCCTGGCTTGGTCCCAGGATCAGTTACGGTGAAGTGTTCTGAGACGCTGTCCGGCGTGGAAGGCACTATATAAATCTAAGTTGTTGTTGTTGTGCTTGATGAGGGTGGCCAAAGGCATGGTCAAAGAGGAAGGTCTTTAGATGGAACGTGGAGGCAAGAGAAGGGATGAGGCGGAGGGATTGCAGGATAGAGTTCCAGAGTGTGGGGGCAGAGATGTTGAATGCTCGACCGCCAATGGTGGGGCGGGAAATTCGGGAGACCTGAAGCAGGCCGGTGTCTGCCAAGCGGTGGAAACGGACAGGCTGATATCGGGTTATGAGGTCAGAGAGGTAGGGGGGAGCAAGACCGTGGAGGGACTTGAAGATAAGAACAAGGATTTTGTACTTGATTTCTCTGAGGAATGGGGAACTAGTGAAGCCGGGCAAGAACCAGGATGATAGGTTCCTGGAGCTTGGTGCGGGAGAGGACATGAGCTGCAGAGTTCTGAATATTCTGCAGCTTGTGGAGGGAAGAGTTGGGAAGTCCAGTGAGCAGGCAGTTGGCGTAGTCAAGCCGGGACGTAATGAAAGTGTGGATCAGGGTCTCGGGAGCCTGTGGTGAGAGGCTGGGGCAGAGGCAGGCAACGTTGCGGAGGAGTCTGTTTCAGTGTGCCGGTGCATAGAATCATAGAAATCCATGGCACAGAAAGTGGCCATTCGGCCCATCGTGTCTGTGCCAGCTCCCTCAAGAGCAATCCTTTCATTCACCTGCTCTTTCCCAATACCTCTGTAGCTGACTCTTTTTAAGGTATTTGTCTAATTCCCTCTTGAAAGCCATTATGGGTTGTGTCTCAAGCACCTCTTCCTGGCAGGGCATTCCACATCCTAACTATGTGAAAAGTTTTTGCTTAACACCTCCCCATTTGCTTGTTACTAAACTAACGTAAATTAATGTTCTATGGTTACTGACTCAGAGACTTCTTTTCTCAGGAACTCCAACTCAGACTCTCTCGGCCTTGCCACATCCTTTCCCACTTTTAAAACCTACCTTTAGATCCAACTTTCCCACTGTGCTTTAGCCACCCACCATTCCAGCTCAGACTCCAAGGCAGCTGTATGCAACGTCTTAAGACTTCGTTTTTCTTTCCCCAACCCTCCGGTGTGAAAGGCGCTATATAAATGTAACGTATAGTTATAAATAAACTACACTGTACCTGATATTGTAATCTGGGCCTCCTAGGCTGCTATTCAAAGGTTCTGGAGAGCACTGCACAGTATCTGCCCCTTCATCTGTTAGAACAGCTCGTCTCTTCACTTTATCAGCACAAGCCAGTCCCTGCTCAGCTACGATATGATTCAAACACAGGAATTAAAGGAGAGAAGCGATGCACATTCCCAGGCCCCAGGATAGAATGTTTCTGAATTCTTCGTTTTAATATTTAGTACCATAAATTTTGGCTATCAGCACATTATAAAATATCTGGATTACCCAAACGTAAAAGTGGAGTTTATAAAATATCTGGATTACCCAAACGTAAAAGTGGAGTTTATCATTCCACTTAACTATTCTGAGCCTGCATATATGCTCTGCAGATATAACTCCACTAACCAGAGTTAGTGTTGGTTCTGCATTTACTGCCCTAAGGGTGTCAAGTTAACAGTAAATTATTTGCTTAGCAGATCAAATGTGCGTATTGTGAACCTCCAGACAGCACGGTCAATGGCAAAATCAGTCTACGATAAGTAGGATGCAAGATTTTTAGTAAACAAAAAATGTTCAACAGTCACAGGTCACAATCCAGAAGTTCAAAGTTGCAAATCCAACTTAATGGGCTTAATAACTACCACTGAGAAACAAAGGTTGGGGGTGGGGGGAGGGAAGCAGGCCACAACACATATATTTGATGTGTTAAATATTAGACACAGAGTACAGATTGGCTTTAAAGAATGAATTTCATAGTTACCTCTTCTCTATCTGTTGAAACTACAGACTGAATCACAGACACATTCTCAATCACACCCCAATAACTTGATTCTAATCATTTTGTGCTGCATTGAGTCAATTCACTTTACAGTATATTCAGTATATGCAACTCAGGCCCTTGATCTAACATTTATAGAGGCTCACACACCAGAGATCCCCAAAGGGTGAATTTCGAAGACGTGCCTAGTAAGCCAGGAAGAGCAGCTCAAATTATCGGAAATATGATGATAAGTCAATTTTCACAGAATTGTGGCACAACTTTTTTTTTGGTCAGCCGGGTCTCTGACACATGTCTGAACCCCTTACCATGTTTAATTTTATTCAAACCAAACTGAGAATTCCATGCATCCCACCTACACATGGAAATTTCAGATCGATTGTTGGAATGGAAATGTGTACTCTCTCCCTGAAAGGATGCATTCCTGCTTACCTAATTCCGGAAAGTATTAGGTGTAGATGGGCAAGAGCCAAGACTTGGGGACCCCAGTGTGTTCGGGTATTGCTGGAGTCTAACCAGCTAAAACCACATAGCTTTCCATTGATATCACTGTCTGGCAAACTTTCCTGCTGCTTGTTCAGCTAGGACCAACCTACCCATTAGGCACACCAATATATGTAGTGTCAGCCTGACTTGTTGGTAGCACTCTCGCTTATGGGTTCAAGATATAAGTCAGGACTTTGAGCTCATATAGTCTAGGCTGATACTCCAATGCAGTGTTAAGGGAATGCTGAATCATCAGAGGTGTTATCCTTCAAATGAGACTTTAAACCGAGGTCCCATCTGCCTGCTTAGAAAAGACAAGGGAGTTTTTGTTGGTGTTCTGGCCAAAAAAATCCCTCAAATAAAACTGGTCACTCACTTCATGGTTGTTTGTTGCGAACAAAATGACAGCAAATTGGGATGCCACATTTGTCTACAAAATACATTGTCACACAACTCTGGGATATCATGCAAATAGCTTTGAGATGTCCTTCCGACATCTAACGCAATATATCAAATTCAAGGATCTTTCAATTCATTGGGGAAACACTCAGTAATGTACAATATTATCAACAGACAAATTCATTACATTTCATTAGGTATCTACCAGAATGCAGACAGCAAGAAAGAGACTGCAAAGATGATCATGGGGTCATACTTGATATACGTAAATGTAAAATCTGATACTTTTTCAAAGCAATAGATTGTAAAGAGATATCAATCTATACAGACCTGATAAAACATTTAGATTGTTTTGGTCCTATTGCTACAAACTATGGCTCCTCCAATAATGAGTCATTCCCCTAACACCGACCTGGAGTGTCAGCCTAGACCATGAGTTAAAATCCACAACTCAGACCCTTGATCTCACAACCTAGAGGCAAGAATTGAGTCAAGCAAACAACTGATATGCATCTGCTTGATGCTCACCAGGAGGATTTAACAAAATACCTTTTACAATAAATACCCGGGAATGGGAAACTTGGCAACATATGTTACCATGCATCTAGAAGAGAAGTGGTCACTGAAGTGACTTCCTGCAGGAATGGAAACCCGTGATGCTGAGGAAGGAAAAGAGGAGAGAATAAAGGATGAAGAGTGGATAAAAATAGCTATTATATCTCATACCAGTGAAGCATTTTTGAAGTTGACTGATGGGGCAGTCAAAGGATAATACTCTTATTTGCCCACTCATCTCAAGGCAGGGAAATGCTAATGACACACTAACTTCAGTTCATGGGCTTTTCTTGCTCTTTCTACTACAAAGGTAGAAGAACCTATGAGAAGGAAACTAGTGCACATTACCCTTTAAAATCCTTAATATATGATATGTTAAACCCTTGTGTGCTGAAAATCTATAATGGAAGGCCCTAAAAGTAAAGATTACCATCCCCGGGTAAACTCCTATCAACAGGTCACAATTTACATATTTTTGAAACCTCATACATTTGACTCAAAATTTTGTTTTCAGTTATATTCTCAAGTACTTTCTTCCCTGTGCTGAGACTTCCTGTGGAACATACCCACCCCCCACTGTTATGCCTGTGAACATCTTTCAGTTGACGTAAACAGGTGACCAGACACTGACACAAATGCTCTTCTAATTCTCTCCTCCCACCTCTCTGCCCATTTTCATCCACTCAGAAAAGAGCACTTCTCATACTCTTCAGATTGAAACTTATGTGGAACTCAGTGCATGGTTGAGAAATCTCTTAGGAAATGGTGTCTCTGCACCACGGCAGCAAACTTTACATTTTCATCAAATTGAGCAACAAAAGATAATAATAATCCTTGTATATAGTGATATAGTGTCATACCACATAATTGAACTGTCCCAGAGTCCTTCACAGGATATACTGTAAAGTGGATTGTATTTTGTGGGTAAAACGTGGCAGCCAGTTGCACACAACAATGTCCTACAAGCAGCCGTGGAGTGAGCAACCAATTTTATTTTGGGGGATTGCTGGCCAGGACACCAGGAGAAATTCCCTTCTCTTTTAGAATTATATCATGAGATCTTTAACATGCCCTGAACTGGCAGATGGGACCTTGGTTTAACGTTTCATCCGAAGGCGACACTTCTGACAACGCAACACCCACCCAGCACCGCAATGGAGTGTCAGCTTAGACTATGGCGTCTGGCCATTCTGACTTGGGGCTTAAACCCACAACCTTCTGACTCAGAGACAAGAGTGCTATCACTGCACTCAGACCTTTCTGACAACGCTGAGAGGCGAGTACTACCAACTGAGACAGGCTGAAATCACATGATCACCATTTTGTGGTGTTCTGCGCTCAAAGTATTGAAACTATCTAATATTTTGAATTGATCAATAATCTTACTAATGCACTTTGTGAACTGCTTGCTGTAAATAAGCATTGGATAGTAACTGCTTGAACCTCATTGTCAGACCCTTTTGTGCTTTGTTCATAGGAATTCCTCTTAATAAGAAAACCCCCAGCAAAAGGGGAACTTGAGACAAATTGTTTCAGTACAAAGAGTGTTTTTTGTACTGTGATAAGCATACACATCTAGCACAACTTGCAAAATCACACTTGAATAATGAATGTGCATCCTTGATGTGTGCTTTGACATGCATTGTAGTGGCTATGATTTAAATGACAAAATTATTTTACCACACTTTGCCGAAAAATGTAGGTGAAGGGTACTGCTGTATACTGTGTGAATGAACATGAACCATATTGCCGTGTAAATATCCTGGATGCTTAAAGCAATAAACTAGTGGTTTGCCACCTCCCTAAAATCTAAAAGAACGTGACATCAATTGCACATTGCTACTTCCTTATAATAATCCTTGCATTTGATATAGCACTTTTCACGTCTTCTCGACATCTCAAAGTGCTTCACAGAATAGATTGTAAAGTGAATTGACTGTATATTTGTGGGCGAAATGTGGCAGCCAATTGCGCACAGCAGTGTCCCACAAACAGTCGTAGATTGAAAATGACCAATTTATTACTGTTTTGTTTTGGAGGGATTATTATTAGGCGTGTGGAGTAAAGAAACTTGCCCAAGGTTTCGCCCTGCCGGGAATTGTACCCAGGTGTCTCGCTTGCAAGGCGAGTGCTCTAACCACTGAGCTACAGGACTCCACATCTGGCTCACTAGTGCCAAGTTGGTCAGAGGTAACATCGGCTAAGATGTATTACAGGATAAGTTCTTCCCTGTGACTTTTAGCTTATAATGCTGCTCCTTCACAAGCAGTACAACAAGAATGAACCATAAAATGCTCTGAAGCACAGTAGATGCCATTCTCACCAATGCCATCTAATTTGCTTATCCACTGCCTGATATCAATATGGTTCAACTGTTTCAAAAGGGAAAGCCCCTACAAGTAGCAATGCATCAAACGGTAATAATAGCAATTGTTCCATTTGATAGCGCCTCATCACATTGTTGAAATGTCTCAAAAGCCTTCACTGGATATTGTAAAGTGACGTACCTGTGTGTATTTTGTGGGTGAATGAGTCAACCAATTTATCCTACAAACAGCCATGGAATGAGTGACCAGTTTTATTTGGGGGATTGTTGGCCAAGACATCAGGAGAAAGAAACTGCCTTAGCTTTTCAAATAGTGCCATGGGATCTTTAACATCCACCTGAACAGGCGGATACGGCCTCAGTTTAACGTCTCATCTGAAAGACAATGAATGGTAAGTGGAAAGCTGCAAAAAGCCAATCCTTTTCTTCAACACACAGTAAAGGTCAGCTTAGTATAGAGCGCTGGACACTTGGACAAGGGGAGCAGAAAACCTTGAAATCACTACGAAGTACGTTTTATCTTTTAAAATCATTCCCATGTGTATGTTATCCTTGAATCATTCACATGCATGTCTTTGCAGCAGAATTCTTTTTCCTGTCCATTCACTTCACAATGTAGAAATAAATGGTTTAAGTATACTTATAATAGATAACA